GTCTAAGCCAACCATTTTTACTTACTGAGCAGAAGATCACATATTATATCCCAGGCCCTTTACATTACTGAGTTGATAGGGTCGCATCCTCCCATCATTTGCTTACCATAAAGATTTCATTACTTTACAAAGTGAATTCATAAATAATTCATACTTCCCACCAGGCATGGGAAAATTCATTCACTCGCGCGAGCACCACAGAGTCAAAATAGCCATCCTCACCTACAAACAGATTTCCGAACGAGTGTAAATTCTTTCAACCAAATGACTCTGAAGAGGTTGACTCAGAACTGACAGCAGTAGAAGGGTAGAAGGATAAACTGAAAGGCAGCCGAACAATTTTCTCTACCGAGTGAGAACCAGATTGAATGCGTGAAATCCGAATGCTAACGATTTAAATAGCCGAGTCAGATAGTTTTTGCCTTGCTGATTTAAATCAGTTGAATTGACCGCAACAGTTTTATGATATTTGCATGACGCTTATGTTTATGTGTTACAGTATAACAATTTTCTCGATATTAATAGCAATTTAAATGTGTCAATGTATGTTTAAAACTAGAAAATAAAAAGTGATTCTATCTACAAAATTCTCATTCAAATAGTATGGAATCATCCACACTACTACACTCAGAATCATTCATGCTACGCCCAGCTGTCTGTTTTGCTCAATTCTGCGTTCATCGAAGAAAATAGAAGCAATGCGAATACGAACAAAATCAGTGCGGCTCGCACAAGCTGCTGTTCGTTTCTGATATTGTATGCGTGTGAATGAGCAGTAAATGCAAAATAAAACGATTTTTCCCATGCTTGCTTCCCACCAGGCATGAAGAATTATTTACATTCATTTCGGGCATTCATTTACCTTTTTTTAAATGATGTATGTAGATTTTGTAGGCTTTGATATTAGCTACAACTCAAATCTGTATCTCTTATGCATGAAGAACTAGAGCGGCCAGGACTTGTTATTGTTTTTCAGTGCATGTAATTTACATTCACTGAAAAATGATGAAGGGTTCTGTTCGCACTGGTTCATCATGTATAGGTGATACAGATTTAAGTAAGTGACTAAAGTTGTAGCTTATATCAAAACCTACAAATGCTTCCCACATCATTTTACGGAATTCTTTTGATGAAAAAAGTTAGAGGCAAATTAATGTAATTGAACGCACGAAATGAATGTAAATAATACACCATGCCTACTTCCTACCAGTGCCACTGATGGCATATTCATCAATCAAATGATATTTTTTCGTTCTCTTACGCCCTCAAATATGTCTCGTGATATTGGAACATTTTTAATATTCATTTTACAAGCTACTACAACATGTAAAATTGTAGCTGAAAGTTGACTCGACACTAAAATAATTCCGATGCACATCGTTTTCTTTGAAAGAGAAAGTATAGTTTGCTATCACTCTTTTCTCTTCACCGTTGGCAGACACGAAGCTAATGCTGCCAGCAGTGTTAGAAGTTTCGGGTCATGACCAGGTGTACAGCAAAAATCTTAAAACACACCACAGTTTGATGAGAATTGTTGCTGGTCGGTTTTGTTAGCACGATATTTGGAACAACGATATCACAGGTTGTAATAACAGCTACTGTTGTTTGCTTGTTGATTTTTGTCAACGAAAATCAAGCGTGATCATGGTCATTGGTGATGCATAATATTTTGATATTTTCCCAACACTGCTTCCCACTATCAAAAACATCCTTCGTGTGACAAACATGAGGATGCAGAGGTACATTCGATCTCTTGTAAGAACTGGAATCAAACTAATAATCCCCTTCCGGTTGACCTAAGGACTTTGCCGGATCTGTTAATAATATTGAATGTACTGGTTCACCGGAGTCAGTTATCAGTGCTCACATTGTATGCTTGTCATATTTTACGAGGCAGTTGCCGTTGTCGGGTTTGAATAGTTATAGCATCAACTCGATCATAAGTTATGTGTTGTCATATGAGTGACTTGGCTACCTCTCGAGCTACCTTAGACAGCCGGTTTTGCCCCATTATATTAAGGAGCTAAATAATTACATTGCTTGCTCATCGTGTGTTTGTCAAACTTATCGTCGTCGCTGCCATTGGCAACAACAACTCGATCATAAGTTGTTGGCATGTGATATCAGGGGCTCGGTGGCCTTAGAGCGACCATTTTTGCTTACTGAGCAGAACATCGTGAGTTGAATAACAGGTCCTTTTACATGCAAGATTTGTTAGTCACTTTCTTTAACTTGAACCCATAACTTTAATTCAGCCCGATTTCCAGCAGCAGCAGGGTGCAAATCCGACCCATTTGTTCTTTTGTCGTGGAAATGTAGAGGATTTTGTGGCTTTCAACAAAGCGAGTATCACGTCAACACATTCCTAACCATTACTTAATTGACCTGCATTTGGACTTGGCGGGCACTGGTATTGCCTATTATAAAGTTTGAGATCACCAGTTTTACATATTGGAGATGTATATTAGTCATCTGTTGGTTCTCTGTATTATTTACTGTGTGATCTGGCAATAATACAGTAGCAATCACGGGTGGTCAATCATGCTCATGCTCAAAAAACATAATTTGATATTATTATGATATTTTGATAACTTTTAATTAGGTTGATGCAAATATTAGTTTAATTTTATTATTATTATTATTTATCTTTATTAGGGAGGCTTCGTTTAATTTTATGTCCGACATCACTCAAGGCAGGTTAAGGCATAAAAAATCGCCAGGGTACTCACCTCTCCCTAACACCTCAGAGTGCGCACATGACTACGAATTTTATCGATATCATCCTTTAAAAAAAAAACAAATATAGAACACTCCCCGCCCCCTGCTCACTTAGTTAAACAAAAGTGGCAGTGAAGATATGTGATTTTTTCGCTCTTTTGAAGACTTTTTCTAATATCTTCTGGTATTATGAAACTTCCGATCACCTTCAACTATAAATGCTAGATGCGTCGTCGGAGTGTTTTCTGAAACGTCATCGTTGTGAAATGTAAATATTAGCCAGTACAGTACCTATTATTGAAGTTAAATTAATTTGAAAAATTTAACCTAAAATTAAAAGAAATTATGTTGAACCTAAGTTAAAGGACATTTTTTTTTTTTTTTTTTTTTATAGTCATTTTAACACTCTTGGGTCATTCGTGACTTGTCCGGGGGTGAGATTTAAACTCGTGACTTTGGCGTGAGAGGTATGGATGTTAACCACTACGCCGGGGTCGCCCCCAGTTAAAGGACATGTTGTGGTTACACAGATAAAAATTCTGAATTTTAATAGTGATGTAAACATTCATTCACGTAAACTTGTATTTCATTTCATGCAACCGAGCAACTTGAAAACAATGTTGTTTACAACAATGGCCTTTTGTATACAATATTTGCTACATTGCATGAAATGTCTCAGAGCTTTACATGATATATAATGTAAACTTATATGATATGTGACGCTCCATTTATGTGCATCATACTAAACAGAAAATTACACTACTTTTTCAAACTGTGTACATGAAAATAGAAGCAGAAGTGAAATTATTGAACTAATATGCTATTGGAACCGCCACCTGAAAGGAAATCGTAGTGATCATACCTGCGCCGTAGTTCAATTTCTTCGTTTTTGCTGCTCATCTTTGTGCTACCGACAATAACAATAATAAGAACAATTCCTTTTAACCGAAATTGAAACGACTACGAAATAAGAAAGATATGACAAATTCAAGACTGATAATGTATGGGAGTATTGTCTATGCAGTCTGGCGAGGTCTCACCATTTAAGGTTGGTTTTCCTTTAAAAAAATACAAAAAAAAAAATCTTTCTATTGCCACAATGAGACAAAATCGGCCAAAGTTAATTTCCTCGAAAAACAAAATGTTCCAGAGGATGAAACAACTCTAACCCTATGATAAAATGATCTGGGAATACAAACTAAATCGGTTGAAAACTAAATGTTGGCAGGACGTGCGCAATAGACTGATGCAAAATTTGAAATTTTCGCTCCACAGTGCTCAAACGGTTTCAAATCAGGTCCTGATTAGCCACCCAAAATTTAAACTCATTTGGTAAGAAACTGACTTGGCACAAACTATTCGAAGTTTATATGGAAATTACTATGGGAAAACCAAACTTTTTGTTCATTGTCTACTACCCATTTTCCATATTGCTTTTTCGAAAAGTTCTATAACTACTCTTATGGGAATTTTTCTAAGCTACAACTTTGTGGAACATCGTTTTTCAGCCAAATGTCAAATTAAATTGTTATTAATTGTTTAACAGGTTGATAATCTTATGGTATGATCAAGCAGTTGTTCTGTGGGCAACACTGTCAACATGTTACTACTATGTGTGACATAGTAGCCATGATAGTTATGCTCTATTCTTCTCACCAGAAACACCAATGTTGCCTGCTGAACAGTTGAATGAGCATAATCATAAGATATCAGTGAATTGAATCATTAATAACTTTTGTTCCTTACATTTGATTGAAAAGTGGGTTTCAACAAAGTTGTAGCTGGGAAAATTTTCTACAATCACTGCTATCATTTTCAAAAGCATAGTGATGTGGTGAATTGTTAGATACATATGAACAAAAACATAAGTTTTCCCATAGTAATTCCCATATCAACTTGAAATGGTTTGTGCGAAGTCAGTTTCTTACTAAAGTAGTTCAAATTTTGGGAAGTTAAGCAGGACCCAATTTGCAGCGATTTGTGGAGCGAAAATTTCAAATTTTGTATCAGTCTAGTGCACAATCTTTAATTTCCTTGCAAAAAGGATTTCCTGAAATGTCGCGAAAGGCTTTACAACTTACAGCAAGCGATCTCATAGTGAGTTTAAATTCAAACGTCCCCCGCATACACAATCGCATATGGTGATAATTTCTTCCTGTAGCTCGTCTGATTGTTTGATTAATTTTCTCGCTCCTACATTTAATTGACCGAGACATCCAATTAGCAAGCATTAGACGCAGCATAGGCAATTTCTTTCTCAACAGCAATAAAACAATCGAGCGTCGTTTTTATACACTTTCGACTGGGTGTATTATTAGGTTTATCCTTACTTGTTAAGACTACTATGAAACAATTGTTGTTTGTTTTTGTGTTATTAGATAAAATATTCACATTCTGCGTCAGTACTAAAAATGCTAAAATCAGTATGCAAACAACACTCTCGGAGCAGGAGCTGCCTCTAAATGACTATTCAGCATCACTGGTTGCTGCTGCCGTCAGAGTCGGTGCTGCCGTTCATCTTCCGTTTCCTCTGCGGGGGGCTATCACGCAGCGTTTGCATTGTAATCTGTTGCTTGGTGAGTTTGAATGGCCGTCCCCCGTGATCCTGCGGCCGTCGGTGAAGCTTCCGTTCAATCGGACTAGTGGAAGCGAATAGTTGTTTGGTGTTGTTGTAGGATAATGAGGTTGCGCCCACGGATGCCGGCAGGCGACTTTCGGCGGGTACATCGATGACGCGGGGAGAAGTGTTCCTATTAATAGTAAATGACGACGATGGCGATGACGGCGATGCGGGACGTCTCGGGGGACGTCGAGATGGCAACGATTTCGGAATCATCATCAGGTTTTTGTTGTACGAAGGATTGTGCGGGACTGTCGCTTCGGAACGAGTCCTGACCCCTGTGTATCAGTGATGTTCACTGCTGGGTGCCTCATCAATGTTGCTGTCCCAGTTGAACTCGGTAACGCCGTTCTTTATTCCTAGGTTACCTAAATGCGCGAATCTTACATTAAAATCATTATCTTTGGCTTTAAGTCTTTCGAATCTGGAAGAGAAGAGATTTACATAAAGGATAAAGAATTATTTAGAAATATGTATGCAAATATGGCTTAAGAAGATAGAGATGTCGCTATAATTGGATTAGCAAAAGACATTGGAGTTTTTGTTATTGTAAAGTCAACATGCATCTGAAAATGTGTGCAAATTGGTTCTTATAACGGTATCTACACTTTATCATTTTCACTGCATTGCCTTATGCCTGAACGATGCCCAATGATTTTATGACCGCAACCGCAACCTAATGCTTCCATGTGCTCAAATTTCAATCAGGACTAACTTTTAATGCTGCCTAGAACCTCAAAATGATTTTGTGTAGCATAAATTACGTAAATACGTAAAAATGCGTATCAACGAAAAAATCAAAAAAATTATATAAAGTTTTTATTCTACGATTTTTGGCAGTTGGCAATTGTGCATTGTTTTGAAGTTTTTTTTTATAGTTTACATATTTTAAACCTTTTTCTGAATTTTTTTTGATAAAAAAAATCCAGCAAGCCTATCTTATGTGAAAAAATCAGAGAATCGATTTGTGATGGTCCAGTTTAGGATTGACTTCAGGAAGTGGTCCGTTTTGCCCTATTTACCCCTAATTTTGGAATAAAAATATAATTATCTTCCAGAAACTGAACTTGGTCCGCTTACATTGAGCCAACGTGAACTTTATCCTTGTAAAAAGAGCTGGGGAGTTGAATGAAGCTAGTTTACTTTGATCAGACTTCAATAAGTGGTCCAATTTCCCCGATTTCCCCTTGGCCTATAAAAACAAGATTAAATACTCGGAAAGCGGAATTTGATGGACAAAATATTGAACTTTATGCACTTAAATATTGTACAGATAACCAAGGATTCGAATGCTGTAAATTTCGCCACGTGGCAACCACTGTAAAACTTCATTTCACCCTATTTTCTCCTCAAACTTGAACAAAATCATATATCATGTGTTTTGATAGATTGGCGTCATTAATAACACGCACTTGCACTATACTTATGATAAAATGTCCCGTTGGCTCAATGTGAAACCCAGCGAAAATGGTTCACGAAAGCGACTCAACACGAACAAGAAGAAGAGTCGCACAGCGGGCAAGGTGGATCGACCAAGTAGTAAGCGACCTGCGGACCCTTCCTATACTACGAGGCTAGTGACGTGTAGCCATGGATCGAGTAGAGTGGAGACGGCTTCTTCGGACAGCAGAGGACATCAAGGTCTTAGCCTGATTGGTAAGGTAAGTATATCACCCCTGTAAAGAAAAACCTGAGCGAACCTCACAATTCAAAAACAAGCTCTATTACAGCCTAAACGAGTGCCCTTAACCACATTGGTTGCATTTGGCCATGTTTCGGGTACCCTCGAAGAAGAATCGCCGCTCTTTAGTAGGATAATAACCCATCATGTAACATATCAAAATTAAAAAAGAACTCCTTATAAAAATAAGAGCAGTTCCAGGCCAAATAGCTAAAAAATAACCAAATTTAAGATTTGACCTCACAGAATTTTATAAAACTTCACATAATTTAATACATTTAATACTCTGAATAAAAGTTTGGCATGTTGGCAAAATGTTGGGAAATTATATTAAATTTTCAACAAGTTTAGTTTCGCTCCTTTTTTAAGCCTTTGAAGCATCCAAGTTTTCAGAATACATTAGCTGCTCCGTGTTGTCAGTAAGATTTATCTCCGATAAATCGAAAGAGTGGACCGCTGATATAATATATTTGATTACTACCCATTTGGTATCCAGACCATGTCAAGGTGTTTTGTCAATATGGTCCGGGTATTAATGTGACTGACAATAAGCTTGTCTTAGAGTTCAAATGTATTTGTATGTGTGGGTTTGGGGTCTAGTTTGAAACTGGAAACTCCTTCGGGGATACCTCTGTGATATAGATATGTCCAATTTCGACCAGGATCTTGATTTCGAATTGTATGTCGCATGTTGGTCTATGAGAGAAACTGCCGCTTCTTCGGGGATACCCGGAATGTGGACGAATGTGATCAATGGACATTTAGTTTGGCTGAATTTGCCTTTGTTTTTTTATTTCATATTTAATATTGAAAACATGATTCCGGAAGATCCAAAACATTCGTAAAAATAACTTCTTGACTGTGACTTGCTAGGATGCCAAATTCTATCAAAAACTGGCCAAGTATCTACTCAACAACTTTTCCAAAGACACCAGGAAGCTATATTTTCATATAATCTTAAAATCAAAATTAGGCTCCAATTATCTCAAATCCACCAAACGTCTAAACCTAAAATCTAAAGCATTAGACTTTTGTCTTGCTAAATTCCATTCCTAGTCCACTGTGCATTGGTGTTTGTCCAGGATTAGTCTTTGTACATGTGACCTTGAATGTGATAGACATGATAGCCAAACCAACGCAAGGTCTAATTTATTCAAATTTGATCACAGCTTGCATCTTCCGCTGTCCAAAATTAGATGTGATAGGAGCGTGAGAGCAAAACTCTTCGCAACGATAAGCAGTATTCGTCACCATCGTGCTAAGCACATGTTTCGTTTCAAACTCAAGATGTGAACAAGCCTCTGTTTATTGTCCATCTCGCGCTGCAGAAGAAATCGATCTTTAACCAACGCGCCGACAGGGACTGGCAGTTGTATAACATCTAGTTACAAATCGCTTGCATGTCAGCTCAACATTAGGCTAGTTTTTTGTTTTACTTTATTTTCGCTCCTCCCCACAATTTCAATTAATGGCACTTTTCCCATCAAGATAACCGATAGGGTGCAGAAAGCGTGGAATATAAACTACCACGATACTTCCCATATGGTGCCCAGAACTCATCCAGAGTATAGTCTATCTAATGTGGGAAACAAGCGTCTGAGAGTGGGGACTAAGGGACGTCTAAACTAGATAAATTGCCTTACCTTTGGAACATTAATTTCTTCGCGAATGCATACAGCTCGATGTCGAGTGCATTTAGCTTATCAATGTTGGCCCGCTGGTCGGACGTTAAACTGTTCATGGTGCTCGTCGACACTGTGTTGTTGTGCTGCTCGAACGGTATCGCGAAGCGCAAATTGAAAGTTTCCTCAAAGATGTACTGGGAGATTTTTTGGTGCTCGGTTAGACCGAAGTAGGACATGGCAGCGAGATTGCGCTTGGCACTGGCCAGCATGATGCGGTCGCGCTCCGCCGATGGCATGTAGGTTTTGTTGTAGCAGCCAACCAGCGCCAGATCGGCCAGCATCCGGGTCTGGCGGTTGGCTGCGAGATTGCTCTCACAGCCGGCGAATTCGTCCAGCAGCACTCCGTTCCAGTTTTCACCTGTTTTGAGATAGAGAGAGACAAAATTGAAGCGATAAAAAAGGGAATCTATGTGTCCTGTCGTCGTAGACTAAAATATTCCTGTGTAGCAAAAAATGTATACATATGTGAAGGTATAAAAATTTTTAATTATGAAAGGGTTTCACATCTTTTTCAATAGCTTTAGAAGGTTCCAATATCTAAAAATGAAAAAGCTCTATCATGCAACATGAACAGATGAATGGGCCAACAACTGATCCAAATTTGAGGTTATTATCTGGATTTGCGGGAGATTTTAAAATTTTGTGCGGAAAACGGAATAAACCTATACATTTGCTAGCTAAAAATTATATCAAACCAACAACGCCATCTGGTAGGGAAACTTCCTATCTTCTCGATAGTGTTCTTGGTTTGCGTAGGCTAGCTTCGGGGTGTTACAATTTTTATTTACAAAAGATGATAGGCCCTTTTAAAATGTTACGCGATAATTGCTAAATTTTGACCAAACCTCGAATTCAGATTGGGAATACCACACTGAAAACATTCTTTCGTTTATTCTCTTTCACTAATTTCTTAGAAATAAGTTTAGTAAATAAAACAATATATTTGATAATTTTGCGAAACATTCGTATTCTATGTCGTCAGTTATAATGCCAACCAGGGCTCTATATTTTCGAAGCTCTAAAATGAGCTCGTGTTTTGTTTCTCTCATACATACGTGTTCGACGCTTTATTTCTATAACGCCTAGCTAGACTATCAGCAAGAAACGAAAATAAAAAAGCAGGACGCTTAGAAGGAAAGGCTGGCTGTGGATCTTCTCGTCGTTGCTTTGCTCATCGCTTTCAATGTAACTAACGTCGATTTTCTAGTTAAACGAAACCTCATTATGACTTTCAATCCCCTTTCACGAACACTCTATCACCGCACTTTCAATTTGTTTAAAATGCGTTATGTCCCGTTTTCGATCATTTTTTTTAGATAAATATATGGATGGAAGCTAAATTAAAAATATTACGTGTATCTACGTAAGAAATGCTTTAAATATATATTTTCTTTTTCCATCATATACGTCATGAAACCTCTATTGATGTGTTTCATGAAAGAGAAAACTATCAAAGTCGAGCGCTCTTTCACTCATCCGTTTTACAGAAGCTTGAAGACCAATGGAGCGACGGGAGAAAGAGAGACAAGCGATTGAACATTTGTTTGTGCACGCCGACCAGGTTCTAGAATGCTGCGAAGCTGTTCGACTTTAACAGAAAAAGAAAGCCAGAAGTCTCTTCGTCGCATCGATTTGGTCGATTGAAGCTGATATTGTGACGCCCTGATGCCAACATTACGAATAATACGTGATAATTGGCATTGAATTCAATATGAAAATCAATAGTGATTTTCCCGATCATTTTTGTCACTGAGTCGTAAAAAGACGAAATTAAATGGTAACCGAGGTTCACTTTTCCCTTCCGAAGAATCGCCTAGTAGCAACTACTGTACAGAAAAGCCACCCTGTCGTTCGATGTGTCGAGAGATATTCTCGGAGCACATATCGAATCCTTAACGACGAATCCCTCTAGCGTGACTGTTCTGCACGAGGGGTTTATTGGGTAACGACCGAAGCCACTGGCCAAGGAGACCAAGGACCAGAGGCGCTCAGCTGCTTTTCGTAGCTGTTGGTTGACCTCACTTCACAGGATGTATTGCACAAGGAGTGCGATTGGAGCTACATGCCGGATTACATTTTAAACCCCTCCGATTTAATTAGTTATCCAGACTTCCGGAGTACAAACTCCTTGATGGACACGACGCAGAGAATGTTGCCCAAAGTAATTGGTCAGCTGTACCATTAGTTGTTTGTAAAGGGCGAACACGAAATTATTGCAACACATTCAACAGGGCATAACTTTTTTACCATTGGGTAAAAATCAACCAAATTTTGCACACTTTCTCATTGATGTGTATTGTGTACATGCTGTCAAACTCGAAGTCGTGTTTTTCGATTCAACGAAAATGGAGGTGAACCAACACGATTTGAGAGAACAAATGCTTTCCAAACACCTGGAATTTCCTGACCTGTCGCACCGGCAGTTGGAAAAATGTTGAACATTCACCATTCAACCGTCTCCAGAGTGTTGAAGCGGTTCCAGGAGCGGTTGACGTTGGACCACGGCAAAGGAGCTGGAAGAAAACCGGGACCGGAGAACAAAAAGACGGAGGGAAAGGTGAAGCGGATGATTAAAGCAAATCCCAACGTCTCAAGCCGTGATTTGGCTAAAAAGATCGGCATGTCGCAGAGCTACGTCCAGAATGCAAAGAAGAGAGCTGGACTACATACATACAAGGTACAGAACTTCCCAAACCGCGATGAGCGGCAACAATCGACGGCTAAAACTCGGGCACGGAAGCTCTACGAGAAGATGCTGACAAAATATGGCTGCTATGTGATGGACACGAAACGTATAAAAAACCGATTTTAAGCAAATTCCGGGGTTGGAGTTTTTCACCGGCAAGAGCAAGTTCGATGTGGACGACAAATTTAAGAAGAAGAAAATGTCGAAGTTCGCCTCCAAATATCTCATTTGGCAGGCCATCTGCTCTTGCGGACTGAGGAGTGAGCCTTTCGTGACAAAGGGCACAGTAAATGGCGTGATCTACAAATCTGAGTGCCTCGAGAAGTGCCTTTTACCGTTCTTGCAGCAGCACGACGAAGCTCCACTATTTTGGCCAGATTTGGCATATTTAATGCAACTATTCTAAAAGTGTCCTGGAGTGGTATGAGGCCAATTCTGTCCATTTTGTTCCAAAGGACATGAATCGCCCTTTAGAACGCTAATTTTTCTAATCTAATCTAATCTAATCTAACACCAACACAGCCAGTTCATGAAAGCATACTGGAAAATGATAAATATACCTCCACATTTCCAGAGAAGTGCAAAATATATCAAAACGGCCAGGCCTACTGTGCAACATTTAAGGGGCAAGATGATTCAGACACATCGGGCCTGTTTAAATCAAACATTTAAACACAACGCTTCATAATCCAATTAATGGATGAAACGTGGACATTTCGTACCGTACTTTCCGTTGTATTGTTATTTATAAATGATTGGTTGTTGGGAGCATCTAGTCTAAAAATGTTAAGGGATGCTCCATCTTTATTTAGTGGTCCGGACATGAGCGTTGGTTATAGCGCCATTGCTCGCTTTTTGAAAAACGATGAAGGAAATGAAAAAAAAAGTGATTTGAGGTGTTGCTTGACGTGTTAGGGTTTAGACCAAATCTTTTAACATCCCCGGAGAATCCGGAAAATATATGGGTGTCGCCAATATGGTTCTAGGCTCTCAATGAGGCTGCAAGTGATCTTTTTACGACTTCACATGTGATGTCATGGTTTACTGCCGGTGGACGCATAATTGTTCCATGTGCTATGGACTTTCATATACACATGGGACAATTAAGTTTTCAGCTAATATCGTAATTTGGTCACATCCTTTGGGGTACCCGGAAGATTTACGATTATGGCTATTATGGTCCTGAATACTTTGAATTATTGCAATATACAAGGGTTGTAACGGATGAGATTTTTTGGGACATCTGCAGATGCGGATGTGGATGTGGATGATCAAATTCAGATAAAAAATAAATATGGGAAATGTCTCTAATGTTGGCCTATGGATCTAATATTGGGCCCATCGCTAAAAATTTGCTATTTATCAATTTTATCTAGATGGACGCGTTATTGGGACGTTACTAAAGGATATTTTTGGTTGCTATTGAAAATTTAGTCGATTGCTAAATTTATGTATGGGCCTAAATTAGTGACACTTAGGCCGACAATAGTTGCATTTCCCCTATTGTTGTACAAATATATGTTAACCTACGAGAGTTTAGGCGATGTTAACTGGAGATTTTAAATAACTTTTTGGCAATTCAGAAACTACCATTTGAACTCGTCAAACTCACTGCATAGTTGAAACTCTCGCCGATCAATAATCAATAGTTGGAAAATCAAAACATTATCTATAGATATATTTAACGGGCTTAAACCCAGATATTTCTTAGAAAATTCGATTGCATTAGTGGAGCAGTGATAAGAAAAGTGAAACAGATTTTATTCATACGGCAAATAATGTATATAAAAGTCTCGGAGTGCAAACCATTGGAAACAAATTTGAAATCACGACGATAAACAGTACCATCTCTTCACACACAGATTCACATTTGCTTGAGACGGAGTGAAAAGATAAGCAACAGCCTACCATGGCACACCAATGGAAATTAATCAGCAAAACAAATAACTTTCTTTAGCAGTTTTCCGATAAACTATCTGAGATATTCTAACCGATCTAAACTACAACATTCTTCAAAAATCTGGCTGGCGCAAAGTGGATGCGAATGCGAATGCGGATGTACATTTCGCATTTCCAGATGCGGACATCCGCAACAACCCTGGAATATACAGACATGCGTCGATACAACGTAACAGTCACTTTTGACTTCTACAGCTAATTGGCATGATTTGCTCTGTTTCTTGCAAGACTCTGACAAGTTTCCAAAAATCGATTCTATGGGAATGTAACCATGTTATGCTTTTTGTGTCCAATTTCGTACAAGTCTTTCTATATTTAAAAGCGCAAATTTACATCGTTTTCGAACACTGAAATCAAAAATATAGACCTTGCAGACAATGTAATGATTTTTTTTTTATTTCGTGCTCTGTCCACGCTTTTGGCTATACCAGCAATCATTTTATTCATAAGATTGTAGAAGCATACAATATCGAGTACACAGCAAAAAAATAATTTTGATATCACATCAAAGTGGATGCACTTCAATCGTGTCAACAATATGGAGTAATATTACTTGCCAAAATGAATAAAATTATCATTAATACAGTGCATGAACTAACATTACGCTGCTTTTGCTGCATTTGTTTATTTTTGTGGCCATAAAGATTGCATGAGATTTTCGACATGACTGGAAGTGCATCCTCTTGGATGTAATATTAAAATTTATTTTTTGC